TATTGCAGGCTATCTTTCGCTGAGGGATAGACTTGTCCGAGGCTCCAGAGGCTCCAGAGGAGGAGGGAGGAGGAGGAGGAGGAGGAGGAGGAGGAGGAGGAGGAGGAGGAGGTGCAGGACACGTGTATGAGGAGGAGGATGAGGAGGAAAGGAGGAGGAGGAGGAGGAGGAGGGGGAGGAGGAGGAGTATGTGGAGGACGAGGAGGATGATGATGATGCTGATGATGATGATGAGGAGGAGGAGGAGGAGGAGGAGGAGGAGGAGGAGGAGGAGGAGTGCGAGAAGGAGCATGAGGAGGAGGGGAGGATGAGCACGAGGAGGAGGAGGAGGAGGAGGAGGAGGAGGAGGAGGAGGAGGGAAAGGAGCACTTGTATCTTGCAGATTGGCTCGCGACCTTAGCCTTACGCATGTGTTGTGTACCTGAACCAGCCTGGCGCTTGCGCGCGCCATTTTTGGTGTCGAGTGCTTCTGTGCCTCGCGTGCGCGAAGAGCGTAGTTGGATAAATTGATTTGCGCAGCAGCCCTCACGAACGATTGCAATGAGACAGCAAGGGTTGACCAGCCAGTCACGACTTTGGCTTCTTCGCGCCAACACGCCCGTTTGAGCAATCAGTCCGACCGCTTCCGTAAGACATCGCAGCATAACGAAAACGGAGCGAAAATGCAAAACGCTGTTTTGGTCGCACCCTGTGAGCCAGGCTCCTGCGTGGAGATGTCCTTGCGGGCAGAAGGTCTCTGTTCTCCTCGCTTCGCGCATCCCCATCGGCCCTTCCAGACCAGACCGCAGGGCGAGCTGCCCTGTCCAGGCAAGCGCAGAAGCTCCCAGTGGAACAGACAGACAAGCGATTCATCGGCGTCACCCCATCATACAGTCGAGGCTGATTAGTGTGTCGACCCTTCCAAATCAAGGGTGCCCTGGTGTCCTGTGCTTCGCGACCCAAGCCTTCTACATTCTTGTGGCAATGTGGCCCTCGGAAGGGTCTTGTGTCCTCTCGCGTGTCCTCTCCAATCAGTCCCGACTGTACTAATACTATGTGTGCGTCGCCCCACCAGGGTCGACGCGCGCACCGAGAAATCTTACAGTGTAAGCTCCGTGGCGGGGCGCCTTCTAGCCACACCGCTCGGGAAACGATCTACTAGAAGATGGGTGTCCTACATGTTCGGGTCGGACGCGCGCCTCCAGGGAGGACGTACAGCACTGGTGTGTCTCTGTGCGTCCCAAGTCAAACCCACGTGCAGAATCGGCCACCTCCTGGCCCCACGCCCGCGGAACGGAAGGGCGGCGGCCGGACCGCGTGCGCGGCGCCTCGCGCCACGGGAGCGGGCGGCGGCCCGGCCGGCCCGACCCCAGCCCGACCCCAGGAGGCCGCGCGCCGCGCCTCGCACGACCTCTTCGGGCGTCCGCGCCAGAGCAACGCGCCGCACGCGTGGAGTCCTGGGCGTCGAGGGTCATCACCTGGACTTCCCCTCGCCATCGCTCGGACGTGTGCATTATTTCTTTCGGCGAGGACCATCGAGGATCATCCTTGATCATTTGGCCGAACAATCCACGCACGAAACCGAAAAAAAAACACAGGAAATGGACGTCCGAGTGATGGCCAGTCCCCGTCAATCTACAGTCGGGCCGGACAAACGGGGGGATTGGGAAAGGGGGGGTCACGAAATCTGCTGCAAGCAGCCGGTTTCGGCCCTTCCGAGGGGCCCATTCCTCGATACACAGTCGCCTCTGGCGCCGGGAGGCGCCGGGAAAATCAGCTACGCGAGCTGATTCTCACACCCCCCCTTCGCTATCCCCCCTTTCGCCCGACCCGATACAGTTCGCTGCCCAAGAGACGGGGGTCAACACAAACGGGGGTCAGCCAGAGCGCAGGATCTTGCAGGATCCTGCAGATCCAGGGGCGCACTGACCCCAGCAGGCGCGCGCCTTGCCTCGCACGGGCATCCGCGTCAGCATCGTGTCGAACGCGTCGAGTCTTTGGCGTCAAGGGTCGGACGGGGCTATAGGACGAGGACAAATCCGTTCCGGAGCGTTCCAAACGCTCCCAGAGCGTTCCGGAACGCTCTGAGAAGGCCGCGGCGCCCAAGACATCTCCCAGAGCCGCCGGATCTGAGAGTTTCTCGATTTATCCTCACCCGAATTTATCCTCGTCTTGGTTTCGTCTTAAAAGGGCGTCAATCTCGAGAATAGCCCCAATCAGGCATCAATGAGAAAATCCCAATCTCGGCATCCCGGAAAGTCCCTTTGAGAATAGCCCCAATCAAGGCATCTACAGTCGCACGACCTCTAGGCATCCACGTCGACATCGCGTCGAACGCGCCGAGTCTTAGGCGTCAAGGGTGTTCACCCTGAGAATGCGGCGCTTCAGAGCGTTCGCCCTGCGTTTGCCCTCGAACAGGACGAAGGCCCACTCGTGCCTGGGTCAGACGGGGCCTCAGAGTATTCTGACGAGGAGCCTGTCTTTGCATGCTGACGTCCCCCCCCTTCGTCAGACTTATGCGCTTGGTGGAGGCGAGCGCTTGAGTCCCCCAAAAACCCTGACTTCCCCGTCAATCTACAGGCCCACCGAGAGGAGCCCCGATCGAGCCGTCTTGAAGCCTTGATAGCACTTCGGAAGCGAAGCGGTGAAGCGGCAGATCTCATTGGTTGCATTTTAGGCTTTGGAGGGGATCTTAGGCTCCTGGGGGCGTCCTCGAGATGGCCACTTGGAGCCGACTTGTGTTCGGTCTTGGGGGTTTTCGGAGGCATGCTGGCAGCCCCCTGAGCCCTCTTCAGTCTCTTGGGACTCTTGTCAGAGAAGGCAGAGGTACCCATACTGCTACCCTCCGCCTGTTTTCCCCTTCTTGAGCCTCCTGGGAAGCCTTCGTCGCCACCGCTGGATTCGCTTCGAAATCCTGGTCAGAACGCACCGCGGGAGAGGTCAGAGGAGTAGCGGTACAGTCGGGGCCCTGAAGAAGGAACCCTTTTCGTTGGGGAGGGGCTCCGTGTTCCTTAATAGCTTCGCAGCTTGCCCTGGATTTTCCTTAGGTTTTCGGTACGAAATCGAAGTTCAACTTATGGAAAATAGGGGCCTCGTTCCTTATTTAGGGTTCCTTAGGTCAACGCCTCGACTGTATCAGTACCTCTTGGTTTCCCCATCGTGGGGCCTCGAGGGCCTTCCTGGAGCAATCTTGGACTGGCAGCTTTGCGAGCAACAGAGGCTGGAACAAGAGAAGAGGACTGCTTCCTATGCTGGGATTTGGTCGCGCTGCTATGATATGATATACCCTCCCTTCAGCCCCTCCCACCTGGATCACTGTTTTTTGGGGTTTTCATCGCAGCCGCTTAATTTAATCAGGACAGTAATTCAAAATCTACAGGCCGACCAGTGAAAGATAATCATTTCTGGCCCCTGCTGGAGGCCTAGCCGTACTTCGCTCTCCGGGCGACTTGGGCGTCGGCGAAGTGTCAGGGTTTGAAACTGGGCGCATGGGCGCAGGAGGATCTCTCTTTCCCCCACTTCCCCTTCCCAATTATCTCTTATCCGATCCCTGATCTGTGAATTTCCCTCCGCTATCGCTCTGGGAACATTGGCGGGCAGTTCCATCACCAGGAAGCTCGAATCATTCACCACCAGCCATCCTACTTATCTGAGCCTGGTGGTGGGATAGATGCCATCCGACCGAGGCACAAGATCGAGATCGGTCTCGGGAGGGTACCCTGATGTTCTTTGTGTTAGTCGGATGTTCTCGTGCATCCTGGGGGAGGATACCCTCGAATGTTCCTTCAGCTTGGCGCTTTTGCTTGCTCGTTCTGGTAAGGCTGGGGTTCTGGGCTTATGATTCGGCTACGTCCGTTCACGGAGTCGGCAGGGCCGTTCCGCGTTCTTCGGTTCCGAGGTCTAGGTGCGGCCTTTGGCAGCCGCGCGCACGCCGATGATGGCAGCGCGGAGGCCACCACCTTCGCGTGTTCTTGGGGGGGAGATTGGCGTGCGCCCCTGCGGTAGGCCGCAGTGCTCGCGCGTCCGCGGCGCGGGCCGGGGCCCTCCGTGTTCTTCGATGGCGGCGCGGGGTGGAAGTGGGAGCGGTTGCCATGGTTCCCCCGATGTCTGCCAGGCAGAGATGGTCGCGTGACGCAGCGAAAGGGTACTTTCGGCGATCTTATGATTCAGGGGTGTTTTGGTCGGCGGAGTGTCTCATATTCTTGAAGGTTGTTCTTCTGGCGTAGGTTCGACTGTAGGGGGAATAACACCTGGCACTCACCAGAGAATGAACTCGATGCAAGCCTGGGCGAGAGGATGGGGCAAGACAGGGAGGGGCGGGAGGGCTCACATCGCGACCGACGTTTCCTATCCACCGTATTTGTCTCCAAACCTCCCCCAAGTACTCTAGTGGCCTCGAAGCTGCCTGCCAATAAAGCCTGCAGCTAGTGCTCTAAGCTCGAATCTACGCGGGAGGACAGACCTTCAGGGATGGAGTAGTGCTTTCTGAGCCACAACGCACAATGCCACGCACGCACCACCATTCGACATATTACGAGGCGTTCTCACGCTCACGTGTGCACCATGGCACGGTCCCCATGCTACCTCATAGACTCGATGTCGGCAAATTCGAGACTTGCCAGCTGGCTACTCCAGTGTTCCTCTTTGACCGCGTGTGCAGGTAGGGCTTGGCATGTCATGTCTTGCCCGCATCCAGCATCCTTTCGGCGTTACCCAAACATACTAAAACTACGTGTGCGTCGCCCCCCCCCCCCCCCAGGGGTGACGCAGGCGCCGAGAAATCTTTCAGTGTAGAGCTTCATGGCGGGTGCTTTTTGAGCACGCCGCTCAGGAAACGATAGAGAAGATGGTTGTACTATGTGTCCGAGTCGGACGCACGCCTCCGAGGAGGACACACAGCACCAGTATGTCCTTGTTCGTCCCATGCTCCCCTCGGGTGCGTGCGTCCTTGTGCACGCCGTCTTGCCCCACCCTCCCAGTTCCCGTCCTCCATATCTGCGGCGCCCCCCGCCTCCCCGCAGGAGCCCCAGCGGTGTGGGGAGATCGGCCAGGATGAGCCTGCCTCCAGGACCGCTGGGTGCAACATTGGGGGGGGAGGAGGAGGGGGAGGAGGAGGGGGAGGAGGAGGAGGAGGAGGAGGAGGAGTCCGTAGCCATTTTGGCTCAAGCCATTTTGGCTCAAGCCATTTTGGCTCAAGGGCCATCGGGGGCCCGAACCGCCGCCGCCCTCCTGCGGCCCTCCGGGGCCACAGGGCTGGCGGCTTCGCGGGCTGGCCCCAGGCGCGCGCGTGCGTTCGCAGGTCCTGCCGACCGCGCCGCGATGGAGCCTCGTCATGTGGCACGGCCCTGGCAGGACGCTCATGGTGCCTCGCTCGGCACGCAGAGCGTGGAGCCTGTGAAGCAGCAGCAGCAACAGCAGAAGAACCCCTGGGCCCAACAGGTCCGCCTCGCGCGGAAAGCGCGCCAGGTGGCGACGCAGCGGGCAGCGAGCCATCAATTGCAGTCTCAACGTCAACTCATCTCCGATCTGCAGTGCCAATTGCGAGCGTGGCACCAGTGGTGGCAACAAGCGCATCATGAGCCTTTTTGGGGACAGCGCTGGATGCCAGAAGACATCAGCTACAGCGCCGAAGCGGACGACCCCTGCGGGAAAGGGCGGGCGTCGCCCCAGGCAGCTGGCGGAAGCAACGGCAGTGGCAGCAGCGGTCAAGAATCAAGAAACAATGGCAGGGGACGGCAGTGGCAGCAGCAGTCCAGAGTCAAGACTCAAGGAAGCAACGGCAGTGGCAGCAGCGGTGAAGAGTCAACACTCCAAGTGGACTCAGCCATGCGCGAGAGAAAGGAAGGCGAAGATAGAGCCCGACGCGATCATCTACGGTTCAGGGATCAGGGCAAGCTTGATGCGACCTCGGGAATTGGCGCTAGGAATGGAGTACAGTCGTCATTAGCTGCAGGCGCGGCCGCCCGTGCGCGTGATGTGGCGCCAGCAACAGCGCCAGCGAAGCTGGAGGGCGATGACACAGGCCATCTAGACGACAGAGCCCAGACGCCATCGCAAACACATCACTGTGAGAAGCAGGCGGTGAGGATGGAGCCCCTCACCAATAACCTAGCCGAGGACCCAGCCAACACGTGCGAGACGAAGGAAGGCGAAGATAGAGCCCGATGTGATCATCTACGATTCAGGGGACAGGGCAAATGTGAAACGAGGGGCGCGGCAGCGGCAGTGGCAGCGGGCAAGAGCGGCAACATCACTACGCCATCAGTTACCGGCGCTGTGCGAGAAGAGACGGCAGTGGAAGAGGACTTGCTTCGGGCCGTGCGAGAGCACACCATCAGCTGCAGCACGGCGAAGTTGCAGCTGACGAATCAGCGCATTGGCGGCACCCAGGCGCGTGAGAAGATTGCCGTGGCAGCTGAGGTCATCGGAGCTGCGGCGAGATCGGGTGCGCAGTGGCGATCCGCGGCCCGTGCGGCACTAGAGGCGGCAGGCATCTGCGCGCCCAACGCGGCTGCTTTCGTCTCCATGGCCGCCGACGGCATCCCCATTCCAGCATGCATCGAGGCGATCTTCGCTGGTGTCGTAACCAGCGCCCACTGGTCCGCGGCCGACCAGGGCGACGCGTCCGAGCACGACGACGCCCGCGGCCAGCGCGCGACCAAGGATGACGCCGCCACCAGCCCCAGGACCACTCCTTCCAGGAGGACTCCGACGGCTACCACCACGAGTACAGCGGCGGCGCGAGGCAGCCTGCGAGAAGCAGCAGGCGGCGACCCGAGGCAGCCAGCGAGACGCAGGGTTTCGTTCGACCTGCGCAGCCACCTCGAGCGGCCCCAGGACCACTCTCACGGGGAGGACTCCGACGGCCGACTCGACGACAGCGACCCAGCGAGCCAGAACGACACAGAGAGCAACGCCACGGACAGCGAGTACGACGGCGAAACCACGTACACCGAGAACCACGACATGGCGGCAGCCGCGCGGGAGGCAAAATCTGGCGGGGCAAATTTCGGCGCCCCTGCAGGGCGAGGGGGTAGGCCCTACGACGACCCGCCCAGACCAGGAGGACGGCCCACTTGGGGGCCAAGCCTCCGCCCCGCTCCGACGGGAACCAGCAGCACGCCTACGGGAACCAGCAGCACACCTGCGGGAAACAGCAGCACACCAACGGGCACCAGCAGAGCATCGGGCACCAGCAGGCCTTCTTCAACCGCACTGGCGCCCACGGCGCCTCCCAGCACAACCACTTCCTCATCCTGGAGGGCGCCCACCTGAACGGCGAGTTCATCATCGCCGTCGCCCCCTCGGGTGGTGAGCGTGCCGCCTTCCTTAGGTGGAGGAGGCTGGCGGCCACCGAGGGGGGCAAGATCATCGTGTTCGGCTCCCACAGGGAGTACCTCTTCTGAGAGGGGGGGAGGAGGTGCCCCCCCCCTCGGGACGGCTGCGTCCGACAGGACATCGAGCCGAAAAAAAAAAAAAAAAAAAAAGGAGGAGGAGGAGGGAGGAAAGAGGAGGACGAGGAGGGTCGTCAGGGAGCACGGTCCGAGGGGGGGACGGGCTCGGCGGGGGACGCCCCGGGCCCCGCTCGCCCACGGGTCGCCGATGAGTGCGGGGGGCCCCGAGGGCCCCACGCCGCCCGGGAGCGCGCGCGCGGGTCTGCTCTCCGCTGGTCGGAGCCGTTTCGCCATGTGCCAGCCGTGACGTGCGGTGCTTCGTCGATCTCGACCGCGCACGGGCAGAACACGAGTTTGTTGATGCTGTCTTGCGTCATGCAGAAACTGGTTGCGCTTCCGATGTGTGCGTGTAGTGTAGTGTAGGACGATGCGGAGGAGGAAGAGGAAGGAGAGGAGAGGTGTTCAAGAACGTTTTAAGAAGGGGGTCTAGGTCTTGAGCGGGTACAGGACGGCGGTGACGTTGCATCACGTGTGTGGGGGATGATCGGGGTGATGATGATGATGTTGATGATGCTGCTGCTGCTGATGAAGATATGTGGATGGTGATGATGATGTTGGTACTTATCATGATGTTGAGGATAGTGGTGATGACGATGCTGATTGTAATTCGACAGACAGCGCTGCCGATGATGGTGGCGATAATGATGTTGATAGCGGTGGCGATAAGTATGGCGATCGTGGCAGCGGTGATGCGGGTGTTGATGATGGATATGATGATGTCGATGGTGATGATGATGGCGATGGTGGTGATGCTGACTTTGATGTTGTTGAAGAGGATGACGAGGCTGATACTGTTTGCGATGATATTGCGGGTTGTGATGATGGTGCGGATTTTGATGTTGATGGGGGTGATCGTGCTGATATGATATTGATGATGAAGCGGACGAGCATGGTAATGATGCTTGTGATTGTGATGGTGGTTCTGATATTGTGGCTGATGTTGATGGTGGTGGTGATGCAGCTGATAAGTGTGGTGATGGTGGCGGTTGTGGTGACGGTTGCGATGGTGCTGTTGAAGATGGTGATGTGAATGCTGCTGGTGTTGGTGTTGATGCCGCTGGTGCTGCTGATAATGGCACAGGTGATGATGATGATGCTGCTGCTCATGATGATGACGAGGCCGCGGGGAAGGAGGAGGACGAGGATGATGGCACTGATGGTGATGATGCTGATGATAAGGCTGCTGTTAGATGCTGGTGATGGTTGTGCTGGTGGTGGTGCTGATGATGATGCCGTTGTTGATGAATATGATGAAACTGATGATGATGATGATGATGATGATGATGATGATGATGATGATGATGATGATGATGATGATGATGATGATGATGATGATGATGATGATTATGATGATGATGGTGATGACGAGGAGGAGGAGGAGGTGCAGGAGGAGGAGGACGATGAAGAGGCGGAGGAGGAGGAAAAGGAGGAGAAGGAGGTTGAGGAGGAGGAGGAGGAGGAGGAGGAGGAGGAGGATGGTGCGCTCTAGCAGGGCGCCGTCCCTTGGCTCGCGGCCCCGGCCGAGCCCGTCCGGAAGGCGCAGCACACTTCTCCCAGCCACAGAGCAGCAGGCGCGCAGACAACGACTAGCGGCCGCATTGCCGCAGGACCAGGACGTGCTGTTGCGCTCGGCTGGACGGAAAGGCGCGGGCAGCTGGCTTCAGCCGCCGACGCAGGACGACCACTGCTTGGCCGACGCGCACTTCGGCTGGCGGTCGCATTGCGCTTGCGGCTGCCCCTGCCAGCTCACGCGAGCGCTACTTGCCTCCACTGCTGGCGGGGCGGCGCTCGGTGCGGAGCGGACCTGACCGCGGACTTGGGCCACGCGGTCGATTGCCATGTGGGCGGCGGGCGCATCGCGAGCCACAACACCGTGCGCGACAGGCTTGCAGGCCGGCCGCGCACTCAAGGGCCCCAGAGGGGTGGACATCGAATAATCTCCCCGCGTGGGACAATGCCCTGCCCGACGGCACCGTCGAGGCCGCGCGGCTGGGCGTGACCTGCACCGACCCGACCGCCGGCGTGGTGTATGACGACCTGGTGGTCTCGAGCGCCTCGACGGGCGCTGGGCGGCGGGCCAGAGCAACGCCGTCCGCAACGGCGCGGCTGGAACGGCCGCGGAGGAGCGCAACCACAGGCGGCGCCCATTCCCCGCCTTGATGGCCTTCGTCCTTGAGACCCTTGGGCGGCCGTGGCCAGCAGCGCGAACGCTGCTCCAGACCTTGGTGCGCGGGGCCTCGGCCCGGCACAGCCTCGCTTCGGGTTTGCAGCGGGGTAGTGCAGACGTTTGCCGTGCGGCCTGCTTCCCGACGCGCGGGCCGCCCCACCGGGAGGATGGCGCTGGCGCCGCGGGCGCCCTCCCCGCGGCCTGCCGCGCCCGCCGCGCCTGGGCGCCTCAGGGCTAGCGCTGGCCTGGGCCGCGCGCTGGGCAGCTGTCGCCGCCTTCGCCACTTGGCTGCGCTGGGCGCCAGGCTGCAGGCTGCGGGGAGCGCCATGCTCGTCGCTGGCGCTGCCGCGGGACGGCCGCGGGGCTTGGGGGGCGCGGCAGCGGCGGGCCGCGGGCGACGGCCGCGGCAGGGCTGCTGCTGCTTGAGCGCAGCTTTCCCGAGCGCCT